CCAATAGTATAATGTGACATTGTATTAATTCCTCCCAAATCAAAAATTAGTGAAGCTTCACTACAATGCTGCTGCATGTTTTTGGCGAGATGTCTCTACCAGTTTCCACACTTAGAAATTCATGTAGAGCTGTATTTCCCTCTCCCTGCTGCAAAAAAGTGATGACCACAGAATGATACTGCCACCACTTTGTTTCACTGTTGGAATTTTCTGTTTAAGGACCCAGGTTTCCACCACACAATACAAACTTTGTCAATGTCAAAACAACACAATTTTGCAACTGCTGTGTTTAAAGAAGAAACAAAAGAAGTCAAATGTGAATAAGTTTGTTCACACAATACGTTATCAAAAAACATGCCGCGCCACCATCCTCCTGCCACTGAAAGTTTAATTTGTGAAATTATATGGTCAAGAGAAATCATCTACAGTTTTCCATGCAGTTGTTTGGTCACTATTTTGGTCTGGGAAATCTCCAAGATGGTCACAAAACAAGTTAATTTTTGGTTGAAAATAAATTACACAGTGTTGACTTTTAGTAAGGCCACCTGGTTAAGAAAAGATAGCAAATATGCAATAGTTTGTTTTTCTCTTTCACAAGCTGTCAGCACTCACTGATGTGTTTGCTTTGTCACAAAAAGTGATGAAGAAAAAATGGTATTAACCATTTTGTAAGGCATCACAAATGTTGGTTTCTGTAGAATTGATTTGATTTGTTATGTTTTTTAAGGAACACAGCAGTGTAGCCGTCAACACTGAATGGTCAAACCGTTCTACTTGAGCATTATAAGGCATGTTTGTTAAGTAGCGCTGATATGTTAGAGACAAATAAACAGTATTTGGAGCCCCAGTAAGAGTAAGATTTCAGCTATAAATAAATTTACAACAAAAAAGAGAATTTTTTTTAATTTTCACTAAATGTTTTTTTTTTTTTAACTCTTGGCTTATGAAAGGTTTTCAAGCAAACCGGAGCTAAAGAAAGAACAATATTTGGGTGGATCAGGACTGCAAAGTGTTTAAATTTGAGACAATGGACTTCTGCAAAGTTGTTCCAATGAATACAACATTTCTAATGACCATCTTAACTCCATTTAATCCAGTTATTCTGACAAAAACTGGAGCAGAAATAATTGACTTGCTCATAATGAAACAAGATTTGCCAGTTTGAAACAGGTGCAAACCGGTAATGTTAAAGCGCTTGAGATGTTTATCGAGATCAGATTTTACCCAGGTCTAACTGAGGAAAAGACTCATTAAACCTGACAAGGCACCACATTAATGATGGGCCTGTGAGTTTTTAATAATGGGATTACTTTCTCCAGGAAGCTCTGTGACAGCTGGACCAGACTGGCTACTTCAATGTCATGGACTGGCAGGAATTATCCCTGATAGTTACACCGCTGTCCTGTCACTGCACCTTCTCTATCAAGATGCAATCATCATTAAGAGCAACTTCTAGCGATGTACTAGTCTTGCATCTGCAGTCATTTCACATTATATTTATATTTCACAAGTCAAAATTATTTGAGAATTATATCAGTATTACAAGAATACAAGAATAAAGTCTTAATAATGCGAGAAAAAAAGTCATAATATTATGACAAATCTGTTAATTTGTTGTAAAGACAAAAAAATGACTGTAAAATTATACTAACTTTATTAGTTAGTCTAATAATACTGCAACGTTTTTCTCATAATATGGTTTTATTTTCATACAACTTTATTCTAGTAATTTTATGACTTCATTCTTTTCATATTATTATTGAGTATTGCTTTATAACTCTGCTGTAATAAAACTAAATCCATTTTTTGAAAAACAAAACAAAACAAATTAACAGTAAAATTAGGGTCCAAGGATCTTTAAAGTGTTTTGCAGGATATAAATCCTCAAGACAAGAAATACCAACTTACTCATATTATTGATATAACCCTTAACATAAAAGGTAATGAAGCAGTACATTGGAAGATACATTTCACCTTGGTTGCAGCACCAAACAGAAAAAAATGTGATTTTCATGGTAAATAGTCAACTTACTCTAACTGGAAAAGTTTTTGACAATGTTTACAGCGTAAACAGCCCAGAAACGTCTGGACTACAAAGGTGAAGGGGTCATGGCAACAGATGGGTGCTCCTTTAACGCTGAGTCGACCTTTCTCATCATCACTGAATGAAAAACGCAGAAAAAAAGTAGATGTCTAAATTGGAGCAGATGGAGTGTGAGTATCTCCTCGCCGTGCACAGAGAGAAAGAATTTAGATGATAGCCCACAGCTAATCCACCACACACCGAAAACTCATTACTGCTTAAGAAGGTAGCATAAAAACTTGCTCCCCTGGTTGGAAAGAATTACTGTTCTGAAGGTGAAGACCTCGGCAAAAGCTGCATGATTTTTCCCACGTGTGAAATTTCTTTTGTGCACAAGTCAGCGGCTTTGTCTCGTCTGTAATGATGGAAAGCTGACTGGTGGGAGGCACCGGCTGCTCCTGGGATACCCACTAAGGAACCAACAAGCAGTTAAACAACATGATGCATGCCATGCAAAGAGAGCAGCAACTTCAACTTAGCTGAATTGAGCTTCAGCTCCTTTCACTGTAGCTGGTGACATTTTTTTTTTTTTTTTTTATCTGCGAGTCACAAACACAAACCTGTCAACAACAGCTGTGTAAAGCCTTGGCGATAAGCAAGAGAATAGCAAACCATTCACTAATGCAAAACAGGAAGGCAAACCTTAACATTCAGGAAATATTTAAGAAAAAAAGGCTTTTCAAATGGTCATATAATTAGGTTGTTATGGCTTTTTGAAAGCAAACAGGTTAAAAAACGCTGTTTTCTTTTCAATACCAGATTAATTTTAACATCTTATTAAAAGTATGGACAATACAAGTGCATGCAGTTTCTTTCTAATCCAGAATGAGACACGATCAGCGTTTAAGCTCTAAACGAAGTAAAGTTTTTGTGATTTAATACATATCTGCAGAGAAGACGTCTGGGCCAGCTGTGGCGCCTCTTTGCTGATCCAGAGCCCAGTGGGGAACTCCTTCAAATTTCCCTGAAGCCCCCATGTCAACGCCATGTGAAACTGTGGCTTCAAAAAACAGCTGCTTTACCCTTTGATTCCTCATGACAAGAAACATTTCAAGTCAGTTGAGATATTTTGGAGTAACAACTGAAAAGGGCTTCAGTTTGGAAAATGGTGAAGTTTCAGTGCCTTTTAAAAGTATTCAAGTAAACTTGTAATGCATTTCATTGGAAGTTTATGTGATGAATTAACCCAATGTAAAGTTTTAAAGTTTGGAAAGAATGGAAATGAAGTAATCAGTGAATTTTTTGCGACAACTTGCCTTGATCTTTATAGAGACCATTTGTGTGCCATTTGCTTTCAGTGAAGAAAGTCTTCAGAGATTTGTTAGAAAAGATTATCGAACAAAAAGCTTCATGATGAACGATGAACACAGCAGATAAAGTTAAGGAGAAATTTAAAGCAGTACCACAAGTTTTACAAACTTTGAATGTATCATCCATCATCTGCAAATAGAGAGAGCCAATGATAACTCTGGAGGAGATGTAGAACTCTAAAGCTCAGGTGTGTGAATCTGTCGACATGCTAACATATAGCTGTGAACTCCACAAATCTGGATTTTATGTGAAAGTATAACAAAAAGAAAGACAGTGATGAAAGAAAACCATAAAAATCAGTGCAGTTTGTTACATTACCACAAACATGTGAAAAATTGTCTTTTTGTGAGATGAAACTAAAATGGAAACTTTTGGCCAAGAGAAAATACACTGTGTGTTGCAGAAAATCAAAACTGCATATCATATCAAACTCTATTGAGCTCCATGGTAATGGCAGTATAATGCTGTGGGGCTGCTTTACTTCAACAGGGACCGGGAAGATGGACAATGGATCTTGAGATAAAAATTAGCTACTTGAACTTGAACTAGATCAGATCAATTGAGTGAAATACAGGCAATCCTGGAAGAGATGTTTTACTTTTTGAAGAAATACAACCTTGAACACTGAAAAAGCTAGAATTGAATTAACATCTAAGAGTATTTTCATTAGAATGACTCAGTCTTGATCGAAAACCAATTAAGACTCTTTTGGAAAGACTTGAATATTGATTCTCACAGACACTCTTCATCCAATTTGACTGAACTTTAGTTATTTGTCACAGAAAAAATTGGATAAAATGTTCTAAATGCGTAAAGCTGGCAGAGGCATACTACAAAAAAAGTATCAACCCTGTCAGATTTATTACTTAAATATACTTAACAATTATGCATCATTTTCTGTTGTTCTGTCACATAAAAGCTCAAATCACATTGATGTGTTTGGTGTGAATAGTTGTATTAGTAATATGCAACACAGTTTTTCTAGAGCCTTTTTGCCTAAACTCGCAGTAAACAGCAAAGAAGATTGGCTTTTCAGATGACAAGTGGTTCGCATTTTCTCCAAACAAACAGTCACCCTGCTGAGACTCTTGCTCCTTTGTGAAAACCACTTAAAGTCCTTTCACTTTCCACTGCGTCATCCGCATATTCACACAGGACAAGCAGCTTATATTCCTTCAAAATCCATTAATCTGTTATGAGAATCTCCCGTCCGGGGACTCGCTGCAGCACAAGCAATTAGGAACTCATTCACATTCCTGAATGCTGGAATGAAATTATTGAAGATTAGATTCTGTCTCGATTAACGCCCCCATCGCCGTCTACTCCTCCTTCTTCAGAGGGAAAGTGTTCACTCAACATAGAGGGACGAGAGTCACTGCGGCATCCAGTCAAGACGCACCACACAGCAGAAATGATGAGACTGTATATAGAGCTGCTTCATGAAACACAGAATGTCCACAAAGGTTCACCAACCACAATGGAGAAAGCTCAGGGGCCCCTGGGGCCAAAAATTTCTTAAGCATCAAGCAAAACTGGTAAAATAATATATATCCAAAGACAACATATATATATGAAATGAATGCCTTTTGAAAAGGTTGGAACTTACCTCCCAACGCTTGTTTCATAACAAAATTCATGATGATGGCTTTGGATTCCTTGCCTTCCTTGTCCGATCGATGTTACATTCAATTGTTGCACAAAAGTAGAATCCTGTGTTTTCAGATCTAAAAGCAACAACAAAATAACAATTAGGCTCTTTACCAGTTGATGGAAACTTCTTTTTTTTTTTGCTTTCAAAAATACATAACAGATATTTCTGACCTCGGATAGTGAAAAAAAAAAAACAGTTTTTGAAACTGGGCTTTCTTGAGCGTTGCGCAAATTGAAGGACACAAAGGTCAATTATTCAACAGCATCTTGAATCAGTTGTTATCATGGCTTAATTGTTAATCTTATTTAAAATGTAATTGAAGCTTCGTTCGGGTTATCACTCCCAATTAGACGAGTTTTAATGAGGCTCCACAGGACGGTCCGTTGTCACGCATGTGGACTAAACCACTCCTGTGTATTTATCAAGATCATGTGGTAAAACTTTCCATCTTCCATTGGAGGGACCGTGGACACAGCCATCCCACTCCGGGAAGAAAAGCTGCTCCTAAACCACGTTAATCAGGCAAAAATATATGTAAAAAAAATACTACCTGGTGCATGCATTCATTCAAAAAACATCCTGCAAGTTTGCTCAAAGAATCAACATTGGAAGACACGCAGATGGCGTAAAAGCACACATGCACTTCCTTGTACGATCAGAGTGGTTTCAGCACCAGCGCTACCCGGATAGCTCCACATGCAAAGCCGCCTATCAGCGCTGAAGCAGCCGCATCAAACATCGGTTTACCTCCGTCCGGCAGGTTACGGTCCACCTCAGCGAGCGGGGATCACAGAGCGGGGATCAGGCTGCAACACCAGCGAAGTTCTCCTGCAGCAGGCGGCAGCGGCGCGGGCTAATGACTGCTCGTCCCTCGCATCTCCGGCTCCAGGGGCTCCGGGAAAAAAAAAAAAAAAAGAAAAAAGGACGTCCTTGGTGCTTCCTCCTGCTCTCCGATTCGTCTGCACACACACTCACAAAAACACACGTAGGAAGAGAGAGAGAGGAGAGGAGGAGGAAGCAGTGGAGTGGAGTGGAGGGGGTGGTGGTTTGCAGCCGTTTACACCGTGATGGGACCGTATCACATGCAGAGAGAGGCGTCCCGCCATCGTCCTCCTGACCGACACAGAGAGATCAATTATTCAGCCCGGAGGCAGGCTGCCTGCTTCGTTTCTGCAGCGAGAAGATGCAATCGGTTTATAGGCCACCTTTGAAATGCAGACTGGGAGAACATGTTGGCGTCTCTTGCTTTTTCAGCGCGTCTATTCGTTTCGCTCCCAGCTGGAGCTGCTAAAGAAAAATACACAATGTTCCAGTTGGGTGTCTTTAATGTTGCAATGAAGAGATCTGCTGTGTTAGTGCTGTTTTATACCATTCGGTGTTAAATTCAGATTACACCCTGTGGTGCTATATTCGGGCTAGACTGGCAAAAAGGAATCTTTTCTGTGTCAGATTCACCTAAAAGAGGCATTCAGGACTCCCAACCCTCTGACACAAAAAGGAACAAGGAGGACTTGAATTTAAACATTTATCATCATTTAGACCTCATTATCCAAACACCATTATATCTAGATAAGCCTCTGTACTTTGTACATGAGTATAGTCACAGCATGTAACGAGATTTCAGAAAAAATACTCTAAATAAGTCAGGCAATGTTCTAGAAAGATGACCCTCGTCTTTCAACTATTTCGACCTTTTATGTCCTACATTAGAGCTTAACCAAGTCCCAACAAGATGCTGTGGTTACATACACTTCCACTCCTATTGTTAAATGCACACTTCATGGGCAAGGACGGCATTAGCATTGTTTATGTCCAGTATGCGGCATACAACTTCAATTACTTTTCTGTAATTCACATCGTCAGAATTATATGTTATGACATTTTATAGAACAATCATGTAACTGTTACCTTTACTTCTTAAAAGAATTTTGACATCGTAATTTAAGGCCTTGAAATTGGCCCTCTGTCTGCTAAAAAAACCCAAATATTTCTGAAACTCCATCTTCAGGAAGTCATCACAACAGCGTTCCTCCATTACCCATTTAAAAATATTTTAGTTCTCAAAAGTAGCTCAGCAGATGTTGGCTAATTGCTGCTAGCTAGTCTAAAGGGGCACTGGGAGGCAGAAGCTTGGAAACTTAGAAACTGCATCTCTGTTTAATCTCAACATGTCCTTGCCTCATTAATCATGTCAACCACCCATATATAAAACATTTTAAAAATATTTCTTCTAATATGAGGTTTTTCAATAGTTAATATTTCATAGACTTGTGTCTAGATTCTACATTTGGTCACAAAGAACCAAACTTTCTTTGCAGATTCTTGCAAAAGTTTTAAGCTGAAGTGACTCATCTGTCCAAGTTCTGTTATTTCTGATTTTAGTTCACACTTTTACCTCAAAACTGACCTCTAATAATAACTGTGGGAGGAGCAACAGAACCATCACCTCACTTTTTCCTAAGGGTGTTGAGGTTGTGAAGACAGTGTGGAAGAGCTGAAGAAAACTCTCATTGTCACAGACTATCAAGACATGCATGTACACGGGTTCACTGTTTCTACTTTTTTTTTTTTTTTGAACTTACATTTTTATTATTATTTTCTACAGAGCAAATATACAGCCATACATCAGTGGTACATAATACAAATGTTGACAATATGATTTTCATAAAATAAACATCTCAGCATAATATCTTACGACCTCAGCATCACATTTGTTGACGTCTTACTAAACAATCCTAAAATGGAAATAGACACTTCGTGGGATAGTTAAACACCATATGACATACCTATTGGGTTTACATCAACAGAGCTTCTGCTGGGCCCCAGCGCCGACTAAAAGTGTTTTTTTGAAGTCTTAATGAGTATGTTATTTGTTCCATTCTATACAATTCCCTTACTTTTTGAACCCATAAGTCATAGGAAGGTGGCTCCAATTGCATCCACCTGATTGTAATACATTTCAGGGCTGCTGTAAAAAGGATATTTAGCAAATATACTTTAGCCCGTCCTTGCAAACCTTCTGGTATAATACCAAGTAGTGCAACTGTAACATCCTTTGGTAAAACCCCTGGAAAGATATAGCTTATAGCTCCATACACCTCATCCCAAAAGTTTTGAAGTTTGGGGCATGACCAGAAAATGTGTGTATGGTTGGGGATTGCTGAGCCACAGTTTCTCCAACACAAGCTTGGAACCGTAGGGTCCATCTTAGCAACTACATCTGGGGTCCTGAAATATCTGCTAATAATTTTCCATTTAAATTCCCGCCACATGTTCGAGTTTGTAACTCGATGTGCTTCAGTCCAGACTCCCTCCCACGTTTCGTCAGAAATGATTTTGGCCGTCTCTGCCTCCCATCTTTGCTTTGTCCAAGTGGGTTTATTAAGGTTCATTGACAGAAATACACTATATAACTTTGCTATCAGTTTTTTATTCACTTCCCCCTTCTGGAACTGGATTAGAAGATTTTCTAATGGTGTGGGATTTAGTATTCTTTTCCAGTCCCTGTGTGCAGACAAGAAAGAGCGCAACTGTAAATATCTAAAGAAATCACTTTTCTGGAGACTAAAATTTCTACATAACTCTTCAAATGACATAAGTCCGTTCCTGTCAATCAACTGGTGAATGAATATAAGCCCCTGTTCAGCCCACTTAGAAAAATTTCTGTCTAAGAAATTGGGTGTGAAGGATTTGGCATGTCCAATACTTGTTAATATTGATAAACCTCTAGGTATTTTGAATGAAATTCGCACTTTGTTCCAAATGTTAAGAGTGGTTTTAGTCCACAGAGGCAATTCCTTTACTGGAATATCTAAAAATGGCAATACCTTTAATGGTACTGAGCACTTCGCTTGCTCAATACTCAGCCATCTTGTTTGAGAGTCCTGTTGGATCCATGAAATTAAAGGCCTTAACTGAGCTGCCCAAAAATAGTATTTTAAAACAGGAAGATTGAGACCCCCTTCCATCTTACTTCTTTGAAGTGTTTTATATTTTATGCGAGGGCGCTTGCTTTGCCATATGAATTTCGATATCATTTTATCCAATTCAAGGAATGTAGATTTTGGTATGCCAACTGGCACCATCTGGAACAAATACAATAATCTGGGTAACAGATTCATACGAATGGTTTCAATGCGGCCGAGGAGGGACAGAGGCAATGCTGACCATCGCTCTAGATCCTTTTTAATTATATCCAGCGTTTTGCTGTAATTGACATGATACAAATCATTTAATGAGAGAGGAATATTGATGCCTAGGTATTTAATGCCCCTCCCTGGCCACCTAAAGCCGCTTTGTTGTTTAACCCCTAGTGGAATATTGCCATTGACATCCATTGCCTCTGTCTTATCAACATTTATTTTATAGCCCGAAAAATGGCCAAAAACAGAGATCATTTCCCTCAGACGTGGTATTGATGATGTAGGATCAGACAGATACAAAAGTACATCATCTGCGTAAAGAGATATTTTATGTTCCTCCGCACCAATCAAAATTCCTTTAATTTCATCATTGTCCCTAATTAGCTGGGCCAATGGCTCAATGCTGACTGCGAACAATAGAGGTGACAAAGGACACCCCTGTCTACATCCACGCTCCAGCTTGAAACTCGTAGACCTGAAACCATTAACTCTGACTGCCGCTTGTGGGGATGAATACAATGTTTGTATCCAATCTATGAACTTAGGCCCAAATTTAAACCTTTTTAACGCTTGGATAAGGTATTTCCATGACACCCGATCAAAAGCCTTTTGGGCATCTAAAGATATTACAGCCGTCATAGCTTTATTTTCTTTTGGTGAGTCATAATATTTAATAAACGACGCAAGTTATTTCCATAATACCTCCCAACGATAAATCCAGTTTGATCTGGATGTATGATTTGATTTATTATGACATTTAATCGTCTCGCCAGAATACCGGTTAGAATGCGTACGTCCCCATTAAGCATCGATATCGGCCTATATGACCCACAATCAGTGGGATCTTTACCTTCTTTATGTAATACAACTATTATGGCATCAGACCAGGATGGCGCCATTGTTTTGGTTTCTAAAGAGAAGCGGTATGCTTCCAATAAAAGTGGACTAACGATGTCTATGAAACATTTATAGAATTCATTTATGAAACCATCAGGACCAGGACACTTACTGTTTTTAAGGGATAAGACAACGTTTTTAATTTCTTCTTCTTGAATTGACTTATCTAATTGTTTAGCTACTGTATCGGATAACTCAGAAATATTTATATTTTGTAAATAGTCTGCTATCTTACTTTCATCAGAGCAAGTGTCAGTATCTCGGTATAAAACCTTGTAAAATTCTGCAAAAGTTTCAGCAATATCTTTTGGTTTTAGAATAGATTTATTGCCCGATTTTAGCTTTTGAACCGCATTTGAGGACTGCTGTTTTTTAAGACGGAAGGCCAAAAGTCTGCTCGCTTTATTTCCATTTTCATAGTACTGCTGCTTGGCAAAACGAAGATTACCTTCTATCTTTTCTGATAGTAAGTCTTGGAGCTCTCTGCGTGTTGTATTCAAATCGTTCAGAACCTTGGATGCCCTAGTCTTTTTATGTTGAAGTTCCAGATCCCGAATTCTATCTTCTAAATATTTCTGTTTTGCTGCCTTTTGTCTTTTTTTTGCTGTCGTGTAGGAGATTATGCTGCCTCTTAAATAGGCCTTTGCACAGTCCCACAACATTATGGGAGATGTTTCAGGGGTGTTGTTTATGTCTAAATAAGTTTTGAGCTCCGATTTAACAAAAGCAACAAAGTCTTTGTCATTAAGAAGAGAGGTATTAAGTCTCCATTGTTTAACTGATGGTGTCAATCCTATATTCCACTTGACAGTAACTGGTGCGTGGTCAGAGATTGTAATGGGTAGTATTGAGATATCCTCAAT